GATAATCGATTAGATTCGATAATTAATTCGATCCGCTAAGCGATTCGATAAGATTAGATATTTTATTCGATTCGATTTAATTCGATAATCGATTCGATTTGATTTGATAATCGATTAGATTCGACAATTGATTCGATTCGGTTTGATAGACGATTCGACTGAATTTAATAATTCGTTCAATTCGATAAATGATTTGATTTGATTCAATAACCGATTCAACCCGATTAGATTCGATATTTGATTCGATTTGCTCCGATAATCGATTTGATTTGATTTTACAATCGATTCGATTCGACAATCGATTCGACTCGACAATCGATTGGATTCGACAATCGATTCGATTCGACAATCTATTCGATTTTTTTTTACAAGTATCAAATACAAGATCAAGTAAAATTGTTTGTCATTACAATGTCAGAGAGATTTAAGGTCCAGTGACCAAAGTATCAGAACACAAATATTGGCTTGTTTACCGGTGGAATGCGCACATACACAGATACGCGAACACAAATACTAAAAGCAGCACAAATCACGATGTCTGGGCGCTGTTGAAGGTGTAGCTTCCATTATTATAGGCACTATCATAAACGCTTTGGTAGCTCCAAGGGAACATATTGTTGCAATATCTTCGCTTGTTGGTTGTGGAAGAGATTGTATGCAAGGATGTTGGAATGGAAGCGCAACCTGTTTTGATATTGTTCAGAAATTCTTTTGCACTCTTTTGAGAGACGGTTAGTACCTGCACATATCTATGTCAGGCGGCATTCTGGATATACTAAGGGACATTAGCGATTGTTTTTGAATTTTAGATTGATATCTTTGTATTTTCATAACATTAGATTTGCTAGCTGATCCCCATCTATTCGATGCGATTCGATAATCGATTTGATTTACCAATCGATTCGATTGGATTCGATATTTTATTCGTTTCAATTTCTAATCGATTCGATATTTGATTTGATTCGATAATCTATTCGTTTCAATAATCGATTTAATTTGATAATATATTCAATTCGACATTTTATTCGATTCAATTATTTTCGATTCGATATGATTCGATTTGATTCGATTCGATTGTATTTTATTTTATTTTATAAAACATATAAAAATAAACATAGTTTAAATTTAAATTGTGGCTTATTCCCATCAAAAATCTTCTTCTTTGGGTGCCGTCTTCAATGAAGGTTGGCGATAACCTCAGCAAAATCATTTCTGTCCCTGGCTTTTCTTATTAAAGATTAAAAATCCAAACCAGTCCACTCACGAATGTTCTTCAACCAGGACGCCTGCCGTCTACCAGGACCACGTTTTCCTTCTACCTTCCCCTCTATAAGAAGCTGCAGTAGCTGGTATTTCTCATTTCTGTATATGTGTCCCAAATATGAGGTTTTCCGTGTTTTCATTATTTTTAAGAGTTCTCTGTCGGTACCCATCTTGTGTAGGACCTGCTCGTTGCTCATATGCGCTGTCCAGGGGACTTTCAGCATCCTTCGAAATAACCACATTTTAAAACTTTCCAAACGCCTGAGTGAGTTGATTTTGAAGGTCCAGGCCTCCATTCCATATAGTAAGGTGCTGTAAACGTAACATTTTAGCATTCGGTATCGGATTTTGAGATTGAGTGTTTGGGACGTAAACATTTCTTTCATTTTTAAAAAGACATTTCTTGCTTGTTCAATTCGCGATTTTATTTCTATGTCTGGATCTATATCTTTCGTTATCCAGCACCCTAGATATCGAAATTTCTCGACATTTTCGATAATGTTACCATTCACGTTTAAAGCCATGGGTGGATGGATGGATGTTTTGGAGACAATCATTGTTTTTGTTTTCTTGACGTTAATGCTGAGGCCGTATTGTTCTCCGATCGATCTGACGCGATCTAAGAGTGTCTGGAGATCCTGTGCGCTCTCTGCAATGAGGACCGTGTCGTCGGTGTATCGTACATTATTTGGAACTCTGCCGTTAATTTTAACACCTCTTGATTGCTCTACTGCTCGTGCAAAGATTTCTTCCGAATATATATTGAAAAGTAGTGGTGACAATACACACCCCTGTCGTACACCTCGCTTGATATTGAATATTTCTGTGTCACCGGCTTCTGTTCTAACTGCTGCAGTTTGGTTAAAATACAGCGTTTGGATAATTTTAAAATCGTTCTCGTCTAGTCCCTTTTTGTGAAGGCAATCCATCAGCTTATCATGTTTTACTTTGTCGAAGGCCTTTTGATAGTCAATAAAACATAAAAAGAGATCCTTTTTTTGGTCTCGACATTTTTGCAGCAGTATAATAAAACTGGTTAATGCTTCCGTGTCCCAAATCCATTTCGGAAGCCAAATTGTTCATCACTGATATCCTGTTCACATTTCTTATAAATGCGTTGGTGAATAACTTTCAAGAATAACTTTAACATATGCGACATTAAACTAATAAGTCTGAAATCACCACACTTCTTTGCTCCCTTAGTTTTTGGAAGGAGAATAAAGACTGATTTTAACCAGTCTTGTGGAATTTCACCGCTTGTATATATTTGATCAAATAATTTGACGATTATATTTAAATGTTTCTCTTCCAGTAGCTTTATAACTTTCGTATGTATGTCATCGGGGCCAGGGGCTTTTCCATTTTTTTGCGTTTTTGATTGCTCTTTCTACTTCTTGTTTTAATATAGGAGGACTGGTTTCATGGTTTTAATATATTATGTTGTTTAGTGGTGTGTCCGAGAATAGTTCTTCTATGTAATGTCCCCATACGTTGTTTAGATCGCTTAATTCCCATATTGTTTCATTCTCGTCGTTTGTTAATCTACAAGGGAGTCTTTGTTTTGTCATTCCAGCTAGATCTTTTATTTTTTTGTGAAGCGTTTGACTGTCGTGTTTGTTTCATGTCCATCAAAAATAGTAAATTTTATTTTATTTTTATTAATAACCACGTATGACGCTGCGTTTACTACTTCATGTAGTGTGTGCTCACACAAAGTGAGTGATCGCGCGATGAGTCGTTACAGTCGTTACAATTTTTATGGTTGATTTTATTTTTTTCACACCTCAGTACGATCTAATCGCTCCGTCCGTAGGTTGCGATAAGAAATCTATGCTTCCAAAAATATGTTGGGCTGCTTTGCCGTTAAGATTGACTCATGTGCAATTAAGGCTAACGACATGATTCCATATACTCTTTTTATTGGTAGGTACTCCGTTGCTTCTCCATGTGAGTCTGTACTTACGTGTGTTTCTCCATTCGACTATAGTATACTTAATGCGTTTGCTGCTTGTATACACAGTAACTTTCTTTCTACTTCTTCTTCTTAACGTGCCCTATCAAGTCCCCTTGACGTTGGCGATTAACATGGCGAAACTGTCTCTGTCTCGAGCTATTCTAAATAGTTGCTCAGCTTTCTTTATTCCTGTCCACTTCCTGATATTCTTCAACCAAGAGGCCTGCTTTCTACCAATTCCTCTGCGTCCTTCGATGTTACTCATCATAATAAGTTGTAGAATATTATATCGGTCTCCATTTACTACGTGTCCAAAATAGGCCATCTTTCTACATTTGATGTTATCAAGCAGCTCGCGAGCATCATTTTCTCTTTCAAGGATTGCCACATTTGTCAGCATAGCCGTCCATGAAATTTTTAGTATACGTCTGTGCAGCCACATCTCAAAGGCCTCCAGACGATTAATCGTGGTTATTTTTAATGTCCATGCTTCGACACCGTATAAGAGGACTGACCAAATGTAGCATTTAACCATGCGCTTTCGAAGTTGAAGTTGCAAGTTATCATTACAGAAGAATGACCTCATTTTTAAAAATGTCGTGCGGGCTATCTCGATTCTACATTTTATCTTTTGATCTGGATCTAGTTGTTTAGTAATTCTGGATCTAGTTGTTCAGTAATATTACAACCAAGATATTTAAAACTGGACACTCTTTGAATTATATGACCATCAACATATAATCGTGCATCTTGATGTGCTAAACGGCTAAACACCATGTGTTTTGTTTTTGAACAGTTTATGTTTAGGCCAAACTCTCTTCCCACTTTATCAATGGCATTTAAAAGGCATTGTAATCTATTCATGTCATCACTTAAAATAACTGTATCGTCTGCATATCTGATTGTATTTATCAGAATTCCATTAACTTTCACGCCCCATTCCAAATTATGCAGCGCTTCTTTAAATATTCTATCTGAATATAAATTAAATAACAGTGGGTATAGTATACAACCCTGTCTGACACCTCTTTGTATTTTACATATTTCTGTTGATTTTCCGTTTTGCAAGCTGTCGCTGTTTGACGCCACTATAACTTTTCTATGAATCGTATGTCTTGACTATCAACTCCTTTATCTTTTAATATTGTAATTAATTTGTGATGCTGTACTCGACTCGATCAAAGGCCTTTTCATAGTCAATAAATACAGCAAAAAAGTCTTTCCTTTGATCTCGACATTTCTGCAGTAATACATTTAGTGCAAAGAGGGCGTCCCGAGTTCCCAGTCCATTTCTGAAGCCAAATTGTGTTTCATCCTGATCTTCTTCACATTTATCTCTGATTCTACTGTGGATGATGCGTAGAAATATTTTCAAAGTGTGGCTCATAAGGCTTATCATTCTATAATCGCTACAATTTTTCGGACGTTGTTTTTTTGGTAGTGTTATGAATTCGGACTTTAACCAATCTTCAGGGATATCACCAGTCAAATAAACATCATTGAAAAGTTTGACCAGTATTCCAATGTTCTCCTCATTTATAAGCTTTAACATCTCTGTCGGTATGTAATCACGGCCAACGGCTTTCTTGTTCTTTGCTAACTTTATAGCATGCAGTATTTCTGATTTTCTCTACTGATTTTTCTGATTCTTTCTACTATTAATATTAATCACCAATTCAAGTGTTCTACATTTGTCGGGCGTCTTGTGATTGTCACAATATTATCTTTTTTATTATCAACAATATTTTTGGAAAAATATAACCAATGTATTTAATTGTTTTAGGGAAGCTATACACGTGCCATTCATGGCGAAATTCGTCGTCTTCGCAAAACGAGTAGATCCCCTGGAAGCAAGACTGAGAGTATTTTGTATGACCGACGACAAAGAGGACAAGACTCTAGAACACCAAGAACATTTCACTGAAGTGGCAAAGAGTCGAGACGTTGAAGTGCTAGAAGGAAAACAACAGTACGTGGAATTCGCAGGAAATTTGGTGCCTATAACGAAGAGTGGGGAACAATTGTCATTTGCCTTCAGAGCTTTTAAGGAAAATCGGCTTCCGTTTTCTGTTAGAGTCAAAGACCAACATGCTGAAGCTGTTAGCAGATGCCTGTTTATGAAAGAACCAAAGGTAAGTGGTGATAACTTGGCTGACAATGACAACAATTACACCTAAATATCATTTTGTATTCGGTTGTCCAAACGTTACAAGTCACAAGCTGAAAATTTCAATTGATTTCTTGGTATGAGTATTTTGTGATCAAAAATTAATATTTTTATGGTAAATACGTTCTATTTTATACGTCAAAGTGAATAGCATGTCTTGACATTAAAATCTTACATGTTTCATGTCAAAAGTTTCAGCATATAATAAAATAATTATTATATTGTTGATTCACTTATCAATTAATCATATTAATCCATTTTACTAAAAAAATTAATCTATAAATATGTAAGTCTCCAATGGGTTCAGATATGGAACCAGAACAAGAGAACATTGCTCAGCAAAGTCTTTCGATGAAGTATTCTTCTTCTTCAGCCTGTTTGCATCCACTCCTGGACAAAGGCCTCCCCATGAGTTCTCCACTCTTCCCTGTTTTGTGCTATTTGGTGCCAGTTTCTCCCCATTTTTGCTTTGATGTCGTCTATCCATCGTTTTTGTGGTCTTCCTCTACTCCGACTGTGTTCGCGTGGTCTCCAATGTACAATGTTTTTCGTCCATCTGTCGTTGTTTTGCCGTGCCACGTGCCCTACCCAGTTCCATTTCATTTGTGCAATCCTTCCAATTACATCTTCCACCTTCGTCCTGCTTCGTATGTCCTCGTTTCGTATATGTTCTCTTAGTGATATTCCCAACATAGCTCGTTCGATGGCCCTCTGTGTTGTTCTTAATCTGTTGGCTGACAACTCTGTAAGTGTCATGGTCTCCATTCCATAAGTCATGACCGGTAGAATACAACTGTTGAATACCCTTTTCTTTAGATTTATTGGTATCTTTTTGTTCTTCAACACATCACTGAGTCTGCCTACTGCTGCCCAAGTCATTCGGATTCTTCTAGTTATCTCTGCTGTTTGATTCTGTTTGCCTAGTTTGATGGTGTGACCTAGGTATATATACTCTTCGACACTTTCGATCTCACTTCCATCTAAGTCGATTGTGATATTTTGATTTGTCATTACTTTTGTTTTATTTAAATTCATTTTTAAACCGATTTTTTCAGATTCTTGTTTAAGCTCCTTCAGCATGTAGATTAGTTCCTCTGTATTGTTGCTTATGAGTACTATGTCATCGGCAAATCTTAGATGGCTTAAAAACCTGCCATCAATTTTAATTCCGAGTTGTTCCCAATTTAACTTCTTGAACACATCTTCTAATGCAAGAGTAAATAATTTTGGAGATATGGTGTCTCCCTGTCGAACACCTCTTTCTGATCTTATTTTGTTTGTTGTTAGGCCTTCTGCTACATTTATTTGCATAGTTGCATTGTCGTATATGTATTTTAGGAGCATTCTATATCTGGAATCTATCCTTGCGTTATTCATTCCGTCTAATACCGCCCAGAATTCTATGGAATCGAATGCCTTATTGTAATCCACAAATGCCAAATGAAGAGGTTCATTGTATTCGTTACATTTTTCAATAAGTGTCCTTATTGTCTGTAGGTGTTCTATTGTACTATAACCTTTGCGGAAACCCGCTTGTTCAACAGGCTGGTAACTATCAAATTTGTTTGATAGTCTGTTGGTAATTATTTTGGTAAGCAGTTTGTATGGATGTGGTAACAGGATGACCTTATTGGTCTGTAATTTTCGAGTTTGTGTTTGTCTCCTTTCTTGTGTAGTAAAAGTATCTGCGCGTTTTGCCAAGAGGTTGGAATAGCACCCCCGAATAGGCACTTGTTCAGTAAGATTTTAACTGCCTCCATAGTAGTATGACCTCCAGCTGTAATCATCTCTTTTGTTATTCCGTCGTCTCCAGGAGATTTTCCATTTTTCATTTGCTTTAAGGCATTTACAACTTCCTCGGTAGTAATTTCTGGTAGTGTTTCAGATCCTACATTTAGTATTCTTCGTTCCATATCATGGGTTTCAGGTTTTGCTACGCTGGACGAGTATAATTCTGTATAATAATCTTCGACAATGTTTATTATCTGATTTTTGTCGTTTCTAATGATTCCATTTTTATCCTTTATTTGGTGTATTTGTTGTCGGCCTTTGCTATTTAGCGTTTTTAACACTTTCATATTCTTGTTTTTCTCTATAATGTTTTCGATTTTTTCGGTGTTGTTGTCCCTGATGTCTTGTCTAATTCTTGTTCTTATTGCCTTATTAAGTTCCTTATATTCTGGTGAATTTCGATCCATGCGGCTTCTGTCCCTAATCATCTGTTGTGTTTCTGTCTTCAATTTATTATCTTTCGGTTTCGGCCTCGTATGGGTTTTTTTGATCGCAGAGATTATACTCGTTCTTATCGTTTCTTCCAAATTATTTTATGTCTTTTTCTTTTAGCTGTTCCATTGGCTCTAGACTAGACTCAAGATATTTCTGGTAGTTGGTACTGTTTTGCCCAAGCTCTTTAGTAGTTAGGGTTCGTTTTTGCAAGATTAGTTTGTTTCTTTCTAATTTGTTATCGATTATTATTTTTGCTCTTACTAATCTATGATCACTTCCCAGACTGAATCTGTTGAGCACCGCTATTGATGAAGTATTAATCGTCCATAATTACTTTACTGTATCGTATTGGGGCATGTTGATTGAGACTGGCTAAATGACAATTGTCCAAGTCAAGAGGAAAAAAAATGTCATTCCTATACTTTCGGCCCAGTATCGAGCTACGTCAGTTCCATCTTTGTTGGTGTACCTTCGAAGACTTGTACCGATGAGGACAGTTTTTGCATGTATGAAGATGTTCTATATTTTGAGTTTCTCCACAGTTGCAGATTACATCATCTTGATCTATTTTCCCCCATTTTACCATGTTTGATTTTGCTCAAGTCACTCTTGTTCTTATCATATTCATAGTTTTCCACGTTTTAAAGTCTTATCGTTTCTAATATAATGGTAGAAAAAGTTTTACAATATAAGTACCTTGTGGAAAAAGCACGAGCCACCTTTTTGAAAATGGAAAGGAAAATTAAAAAGTAGATATTACGATGCTATATATTCTCCACATTATTGTATGGTAGTGAAGCATGAACGTTAAAAAACTTACACCCAAATAAACCGCGGATAGACCGTATTATTTTGACAAGTTGACTCCAGATTAAATCACCTCAGCAATATCATAAATTAAGTATGAAAATGCACCCCACTCCGATAAAATCCATCCAGAATTTTTACTTCATTGTGGCAAATATGTTCTTGGCTGATTTCTATACAGATATCTTAAAATCAGGAGAAATTACCTACTTACGTAAAAACGCCTTCTTTATAGCCATATTAAAACCAGAAAAGGCAAATGATTAGCAACAAAAGTACTGAATTGTACTGTTGAGCTGTATAACGTATGTCTCTAAAGTTTTCGGAAAAAATAAATATGTATTTGCTAATTGTAAATTCAGTTTATTTTATTAACTAAATACAGGAAATTAAGTCTACATATTTAAGGTTTATAGTGTAGTTTTATAAAACAGACAGAGGTCCGTGATCTTTGATGGCACGTAAATTTTGTCTTGCAGGTGCAATAAGCCTTTGGACTGATTCTAAGTCAATCTTACGAAATTTTTGCAAAATTCTTCACCTTAGCCGATCTACATTTTGGGCTTCTTCTTCTTCGCGTGCCATATCAGAATTATCCGACTTTGGCGATCACCATTGCGAAGGCTTCTCGATTTTCTGCAATATGGAATAATAAATTGCATTTGGTATCTGAGTCCATTTACGAAGGTTTTTTAACCAAGAAACTTGTTTTCTTCCTACACCTCTACGGCCCTCTATTTTGCCTTTAAGGATCAGTTGTAATACATTTTGGGCTACCCAGCCATTATTATACACCATTCGACTTCCCCGCCCAAAACTCTTCTATAGGCCTCGTCTAAGGCACATTTTGTGCTTGGGGACAAAATTTATATTTTGAGCAGTTAAACAATCTGTCGTACTCCTGGCGTAATGGCATGAGGCTAGGTCAGGCGAAAATATGATTTTATCATTGGGCTGATGAGTATTTATAAATTTAACAAGCTTTGTAAGACACCTGTCAACGTAATTGTCCACATTGAAAGCTTCACCACGAAGACGCTGAACAAATGGCTGTGAAACACCGTCTTCTGAGATGGCACACTATATAAAAATGCTGGAATATGCTTTAAAGAATGTGGATTGACTGACAAAGGGAATAAAAATAGATGGAGAATATCTAAACTACTTATAGTCATAATACTTGAGGACTTAAGAATGGTAAAAGATATGGTACAGGAACTCGTTGTGGCTACAAAAAATGTAGGTTTAAATATAAACATCTCGAAAACAAAAATAATGACAAATTTGGTACCCAATGAAAATATCAGTATTGGTGGAGACGAAGTAGAACTCGTAGATAAATATAAATACCTGGGACATGAAATTATGATCGGTAGGAATAATCAGACCCACGAACTAAAGAGAAGAATCGGTCTTGGGTGGGCAGCATATAAAAAACTGAGAGAAACTTTTAAAAGGGAGCTGCCCACATGCCTGAAGAGAAAAGTATTTGATCAATGCGTCCTTCCAGTGTTGACGTATGAAGTAGAAACACTTACTCTAACAAAAGCCTTGGCTACCAAACTAAGAGTCACACAGAAAAGAATGGAGCGATTCATGTTAGGAGTAAACGAACGATTGTTTATATTTTAAGTGTTATTTTTCTTTAAGCTTTGAGTGATGGATATTTAGATGTCTAGAATTAATCAATAAATGGTGTATTTGGTTTGACAGGATTTTATCTGGAGTGATGATGTGAAGGTGTAACGTCTCTGTCTTGGAATATTGAAAAACGTATTTGATATTGCCACGTTAAGTTCCTGACAAAAGTTAATTAGGCGATCGCCTTCATTATTAGAAATTCATAATCCATGTCCAACCTTAGCATTTACCTCTCGCATTACAATTGTAGTTTACTTTGACTTTGTTTTAATACGTTCTTGATGTCTTCATAGAAATGCTCTAAATATTCGTCATATTTGTCTGCAGTAGGTGCGGGACTATGCTTATAGCCAAAGTAAAGTTAATAAAAGAGTCAAATCACTTACTTTTAAGAATTACGGAATATATGAGTATTCTGTTAACATCACTAGTAATTAATGGCAATTAGATACTTATGCTTAATAATAAAAAGTAACGTTTTATTCCATAATCGAAGACGAAAATCAAACAAGTAAAATTTCTTTGTTTAAGTCCAAGAAATCGATTGTTCGTTGATTTACTTTATCCTCAAACACATGACAATTTATTTTCCTACAATCTTTCCCTTCCCCGAAGGAATATGTTGTAGGAAAAAGAAAAAGAAAATATCATCTACTATTTCTCAGTAATATCATATAATTGAAATTTGTTTTAGGTGCCGAAGGGAGAACCTCCTCAACAACCAATATGCATCCTTAACATAGTCCTACCAGAAGATATAGTTACAGACACTATATCTCTTACTGATAGTGACTCAATCAAACACTACAGATTCTTGTCAGAGAACTTCGACTATTATAGACCTGACCCCAGACTGGCAGACATGAGCAATCTACTTGGTGAAGACTGGGTACCTTTAGCCAACCAACTTGGACTTACTACGTCAGAAATTAACGTTATAAAATCTGAGTATCCTGATAGTGTCGCTAAGCAGGCGCAGAGCATGTTAAGGTAAATTTGGTATTATTTATTAGGTAAATTTTGACGAAATTAGATGAGTTGATCAATTTGGCTATTGCTTCAAGCAATTAGGAAAGACGGCGTATGATCAAAGAGATTTAAATCATTTATTTTTAAGAATTACTGCCATGCCATGATATGTAAATGTGTAAATGTCACAGATTAATTGTTTTCTTTCTATGTCATCATTGATATTTCGCTCCATTTTCATTTCGTTTCTTATTTGTTCGTTTCTAACTCTCTCCAGTTTCGATCTACCGCAGCTTCATCTCAGATAATCCATTTTTGTCGTCATAAGTTTGATTCTATTAGCTTTGGTGACGTCCCATACTTCCGAACCGTAAAGTGTAATACTTTGGATTATACTACCGTAAATGTGTTTTTTGGTTTCTCGTCGAATTGTGTTTTTTTTTAGAAAAGAGAGATTAAGGCACGAGTCGCTTCTCTGCCCTTGTTTATTCTTTCCCTCATTTCATTTTCGCTATTTCCCTTGTTGAAAATGACCCCCAAATATTTCCAGGATTGCACGCCTTTGATTTTGTCGTTTTCCAAGACTAGGTCACATATTTCATCTGTTCCCACTGAGAGATATTTATGTTTTGTCATATTCATGTTTAGAACTGCCACCTCATATTCTTCTTGCAGTTTTCTTACCATATAGCTAAGATCGTAGCTGTCTTCGGCAACCACTACCTAGTCATCCGCAAAGAAAAGTGTATATAGCGTGTTTTCTTCCACCGTTATTCCCATGTTTCTACATTTTTTTGCCCATTTTACTAAGGATCTGTCCAAATAGATTTTAAATAAGGTGGGCGACAGACAGCAGCAGCTGAAATACCTTTTCTAAATGTTACCATTTTAAATCTTCTGTTGTGATAGGTGGAATTTGGTTTTGTAGCCGCTTCAGCTTATTTGTGGCCTTAAATATTGAGTATTCACTATCTGGGTTAGGTGTCAGATTTTCAAAGTACTCTTGGAAATTGACATCGCTTTGTTGTTTAAGTATAACTACTTTTATTTCTCTAGAAAAATCTTTTATCAGAACATAATGCGATCTAGAATGCTTACAGTCATTCGAAAATTGTTTACAGTGAAACAATTAAATTAAGATTGTTAAACACTTACCTAATGCACTTAATTCTGGTCATCGTTAATTGACTGACAAAACTTTCCTCCGTTTCTTGTTCCTTTGCTTTTGGGATGTATAATTTTCGTATTTCAAGCAAATTAGCTCGACTTTTTGGGCATCATTGTCTATATCATTTTAAGCCCTGCAAATTTTATCAATATTTAAATTTTTTTCTCATAAACTTTCTTATTATTTTTATGTTATTACTAATATTGTCGACTTTGTTCTACCAACTAAAGCATCAACACATAGGTATTAATATTATTGTTCTGAAGCTATTTTCTTGTGGCATTTTAAACCAAAACGGAAATCGACACGCCAAAATAAACTTATAAAGAAAAGTTGTAGCTTATTTTTAATAAAAATAGTAAAACATATTTAAAAATAAATAAATATTGTATATTTTGTTACAGGATGTGGTTGTCACAGACCGGCAATAAGGCTCAGACAAATACTTTAGAAAACGCTCTGAAGAGGATAGGAAGAGAGGACATAATACCTCAGTGCCTAAATGTTGACCATGGAGGTCAAACAATCACTAGGATAAAACACGAGGAGATAGGAAAATATAGACTGAAAAAAGATATAGATAGTTTAGAAAAAGGTGCTGTGAAAGATGACGTTGCCCCGAGAGCTGTGGCCGACACGCAAGAAGGTAAGATATTGACTAACTTATGTTGACAACTGTTGTTACATTACATTACGTGTAATGTAATGAAAATGGTGTTAAATGTATTTTATGTTCCTTTATTTCACAAATTAAAAATATGTGTGTGGTAACCTACATAACGTAGCTTCGTAAGTAATGAAGTGGGAAACGTCTCATGACATCTGTCAACGTCCAAGTGTCATGTCATAGAACTACTAAAATGTCAAGTATATGACAACTCTTATGTAAGGAAATACTAAACTTATAAGGTTAATAAATTAAAAACAAAAACATAATACTTACAAGTCCAGCCTTACAGGCTTTTTTCACCCGTTGGGACCTTTGTAGTACGGGGCGTCATCTGAGCTAGGTGCAGTGTTTGTATTATCTAGTATTTGTGGTAAGCAAGTTGAAATACTATTTAAATTATGCACATTTGTATTTTCAACTGAACTAGAACATGGTGCTGCTTCATTTGAGGCAAAAGTATTATAACAATTGGATTATTACCCAGGTCAAAATGTGTCGGTTGTATATGTATACCAATGTATACAGGTGTATTTTCCCCTATAGATCTGATTTGATCTATATTTTTTTTGAACCTATTTTCTATCCTTTTATTGTTAGATATAGGTCTCCCCCAGTTCTCTCCATCTTTCCCTATCTTAAGCTGTTCTCTGCCATGTGGGACCTCCTTATTTCCTGATGTCATCTTTCCACCTCATCTGTGGTCTGCCTCTTGATCTCCTTGCATTGTATGGACGCCACTTTCCGACGGCATTGTTCCATCGTCCATCTTGGAAACGTTCATTGTGTCCAGCCCATTTCCATTTCAGTTTTGCTGCCTGTTCTATCGCGTCTACTGTCTTTGTTCTGGTTCTGATCCACTGGTTACGTTTTCTATCTTTAAGTGATATACCCAACATTTGTCTCTCCATCGCTCTTGATATCCATTCCCAGATACTCACAGGCGTCACTCACATTATGAGTTAAGCGGATGTGATACTGCGACAACAGCAGCGTCTGACCCAGAGTGGGCGGCTGAAACACACTTACCAACCCGTCTGGCCAGCGTGGTGAGTTCACGGCCAATTTACCCCCCCTCTTGATCTATATATCTCTTCCATATTCTTGTATTGTCTAACTGTATCAGGTAGTATAATTTCTCTAGTTTACGTTTATCTCTACCAAATTCCCATTTATCAGCATGTATGTAATCACGAGTCTCTACTCTCTCTTCCTCCTCTAAGTTTCTTACCTTGAGATGGTTTTGTTTTTGTACAGGTGTTTTGTAAAACGTTTTCAATAATCCGAATCGGGTTCAAATCTCTCGTCCAAACATTAAATTTGAAGGACTGCCACCAGTTGTACCATGTGGTGTTCTTCTGCAATTTAGTAAGAATTTGTTGAGCTTTAGCTTCCTTTTATTATTATCTCCTTTTTGTACACGTAGCACTTGTTTGAGTATTTGTACGTACCTCTCTGCTATTTTATTTGTAGCTTGATGATATGGTGCACTGAATTTGTGAAAGATTCCATTTTGCTGTATCAATTGTTTAAATTTGTAAATCGTAAACGTTTGTCCATTAACTGAAACTAAACAATTTGGAATTCCAAATGTACAAAACAAATTTTTAGTAAGTTTATGATAGTTTTGCTTGTCAAATCTTTAACCATATGTATTTCTGGCCATTTAGTATTGGCATCCACTAGAATAAAATAGTATGAATTCGTGAAACGTCCTGCAAAATCTATGTGAACCCTTCAAAAGGGGTTCTGATTTTGTTGCAGTCTGTACAATTTTTGAATATATCTTCTATATCTTTAGAAATCCCTGGCTATCAGCAGGTCTGCGTTCTATGATTTAGCCCAAAAGAGTTGTTTTAAATAAGTATACTTTTATAAAGGCTTATTCAATAAAAATTTTGTTATATACAATCCCTAGCACGAAGGAGGTTTAGCGGCTTATTTGGGACGCTCGACGAGGGAAAACACGTTGATTCCATCGGTGTAGAGCGCGTGCGGCCCAGAACATCTAAGGGCATTAGAAACCTGTTATTGCTCAATACTGTATAGGTAAAAGCCGCTTGTCGCGTGCAGCAAGACCAGGAAACTCCACCGAAGGGCCTTTAGCTCGTCAAAATACGCCTAGTTAGCAGGCTAAAGTCTCATTCGTTATCGGACTAACCAGATAAATTAGTTCATAAACTAAGAACAGCCATGCACCACCATCAAGAAATCAAGAAAGAGCTTTCGATCTGTCATTCCTTCCATTTTCGGATCTGGTGAGGTTTCCTATGTGAATCCGAGCTCTTAGCCATATCTAATAAAGCTAATACCAAAACCTAAAGATTAGCGCACAAGCTACGTATTAACGAATCATCCATTTCACAGTTAAATCTTAAAATAATTTGTTCGAAGTGACTGCCAATGTGAAGCGATATTTATCCTTCCCTGTCAGTCCTAACTTGACTATTCTTATTTTTGGAAGTTTATGCTGTGTTGTTATCCATATCCCTATTTGTCAAGCTACTGCGACAATTTAATAAATATTTTACAGTTTTATATATCACGAATTACTCAAGCCAGTATTTTGTTTATTTTTTTACCCTGTCAAATAAAATAGTATATATTAAATTATTTGTTGCAGCTACGCGGTTTGGAATAAAAGATAAATACTCAGCGGAAGAAAAAGTAGTCGTAAAGTCTGATGAGGACGAGGAAGATGAACAATTCGATAAACCAGTGGCAGAGCGACGAGAAAAGATCGAAAAACGTCTCTCAGCTGAAAGAAGTATTCCTGCGTCTTCGCAACGCCGTGAAATCGTCCAAGAAATCACGACGATCAAACAACAAAGCCTGGTAGAGGACAAATTGGCGGAGGTGAAAGAGAAAATAAAAACAGAAGAAACAACAAAAACCACAGTAACTAAAACGACGATCTCACCGGATACTAAAACGGTTTCTAAAACTATTGAAGTAAAAACCACACTACCATCTGATTCGACAGTTTCGGAACCGATTTTGTCTCCTCCAGAGACCCACGTTAGCAAAACCACCATAGTAACGGAAACACGCACAATTGAAGAACCATCGCACAAGGTGCCAGAAGACGCGGAATTATTGGAGAAAGTAACACAGAGCTTCGAGAAGAAGAAACCCATTCCACAGTTGATCGCTGACGAAGGTAAGTTCACAACAATAATTAAAATAATCTTAACCTATCAATATAATTAGCCGTAACTCGACTCTTATTGATCTTATCGAAGTATTTGAACATAAAATGTTAATTTCTACTGTATTTATTTGTTCTTTTTACTTTAATACTACTTCATACACTCTGTGGATTGACGATAAATATTATAAAAGCCATAATAGCACCTATTTGCAAGTGCCTTTCGTAGATTTTTTTTATATCTCCTGATATATTGTTTTTGGAGCCAAACCATGCGCATAGATAGGTATAATCTCACAAGTGTTTGAATTTTTGGTCATTAGTAGTGCGATTTGTAGGAAAATTATCAGCTCTTGTGTTTGTCTTACAGCATAAATTTGTTTTTCCCCTTATTTATATGGCCCATTATTTCTACTTTTGTTAGAACTTCTGTTGTTCTTGTCCTGGATCTTGTTATGATGACTATATCATCAGCGTATGCTAAATCCTAGACTGATTTATTTAGAATGGCCATTTCTAGGGCTATTTTAAGAGCTAACATGCTGGCACGTTCCCTTGTCTAAGCCATCTGTGCGTTTTAAAGAGAGTTGATGTATTGCTCGTAAATCTTATCGCGAGTAGCATCTTAGTCAACGTAATTTTTATCGTGCATATTGCAATCTTTAGCTAATTCATAGAATTGTACCTGTTTGGTATTGCGATGTTCTGAGATGTAACTTATAAGTCAATAAACAGGTCGTATAGATCGATGATGCGCTAAGAACTTAAAGTAAAATGTTGATCGGGATAATCGAAAAACCTGCCTGATATTCTTCCAAGTAGATTTTGATGTAGAGCTTAAAAGTAAAGCGGTGTTCGGAAGAATGGACTCATTGTGTATTCTCCCAAGGAGTCTTCATTCTTAGCTTATTGTCCATCCTGTCATTCCCAAGAAGGTGGTCAAGTCACCAGTCGACATCTTCCTTATGCGGATAGATATAGGCCAGATAACTCCAGGCATTTACATAGTGATGCTCGACAGATTGGTCTAGTGACTATTTAAAAAATTAATTGTCAAACTTACGTTTTTCGTGGCCATTCTCAAAAACTTCTTTAATGCTGACTTTTCAAGGTTTAGTGTTACCTTGGCCAGTCTACATCCTTCTTCGCATATTTTCATAATTTGAGTGTCTGAGTGACATTTGGCAATTTCTGCGAGTGTTGTAGTTGACAACCAAAAAGATCACCAGGTCCTAGGAATTTTAGGTCTGCCGCCTTCTTAGCTTAGTTGGTCAGCAATGCGGTTGCCTTTATTTCGAATGTGTCCTTTTAACCGACTTCAGGATGATGTTATTACCATCCGAAGCTTAAGTTAGTGACTTACTGCTAATCCTGATGTGACACGTGATCTATTTAAGGTTAGCAGCGCTAGTCTGCTGTTCGTGCAGATTATTATGGTTTTCCAGGAAAGATACCAGCCAGTTCTGTCTGAACTACGCTGACATGTTTCCCATACCCCACTTTATTCTTAGTTTTAGTTATCTAGAGTATATCGCGCATTCTGAGCCTTCTTACATTTTCGAGTCATCGGTGTATATACAATAAGAATTTACTACGTTTGACTACTTATGCTATCTTGTTTCGATTTTATAGGGTTTGTCATAAACAAACTCAGGTTTAATTGAGTCGCAGCCAGCCTGTAGCAGGGATACGTCAGCTCTCCTCTCCAGAAACGACATCTCATTTGTCCCGTATCTACATCAAGGTTTGCACCCACTGAGCGCAATCGCATCATTGTCATCAGCACCACCTCTTTAACATATATGTCTAGAGGGGTGATGCCAATCAACGCACCTGAGTAAAAGGATCCAGGTATAGGATTAGCTCTATCATCTAAGTGGAAGTTCCAGGTTAACTTCTTGTCAAGGGTAAAATCAAGGTATTTCACCTCTTCAGAAGAGTTTAAACTGCAATATAGAATCCTTAAAGGTATTAGGCCATAATCCTTCTTTTTCTGGTGAGGAGGGCCATCTATGTCTTCTTACGGTTTGTAGATAGTGAGTGTTCCTTACACTATGTTTCTATTAGTCTGAAATTGAAATCTCTTATATAGTGTTCTTAAACTTATCGCTTTGTAGGACAGCTATCTCGTCTGCATAGGCTATTGTGTAGAACTCGTTGCTGCTAGGTTGGTCAACCAGGGTGTATAGAACTATGGTCCACCGAAGTGAGCACCCCTAGACTCCGCACCTCTTGTAACCGTGCCTTTAACCACAACATCTGTTGGGTGATGGTTGAGAATGTAAATTTATCAAATGTTCCCTCAATGTCTAAACATATCTAGCCTGGATTCTTTATTATCCAGCGATCGTATACTTCTTCTCACTACTTGAAGCAGTGTAGAATCGGTAGATCTACCCAAAGTAATAGGCATGTTGATTTGAGTAAAGTGGGTTATAAACCAAAACGTCACCTCTTATGTACGTTTTGCATAGCCTTTCCATCGTTTAAAAAAAATGATGTTTATAAAGGCTAATTGGCCGAAAAGCCTTTGGTAGGGTGTAGTAGATCCTACTTGGTTTTGGTACAAAGACCAGACGTACATCTCTCAACTTCGTAGGAATATATCCCAGAGTCAAAGGGGCTCTGAACATTCCCACAAAGTGCGGCAGAAGGATATCTAGTCCCCGCCGTACTAGGGCTGAATATATGCTGTCAGGCCCTGGTGACTTAAAAGGGTTGAAGCACGATATAGCCCGCCTTACTGTTTCCTCGCTACTCATTATCCTGGCGAGATACCAGGCATTCAGTGAGGATATGATTGTTTCCTCCGTCCAGTTCGGTGCTGGTGAGACACTAGAACCGGGGTTTTAATATAATCTTGGCAATTTCGAAAATTTTGCTTTCATTTTTCTTTGTTAATATGCTGATATGCATTGTGGGTCTTTTGAGAGCGCTTTTTGTAGCATAGAAGCCTGCGGGAAATCTTCGATTCCTCATAGTAAGCTCTTTAAGCATCTCTTGGTTTTTGTCTGCAGACTTGCTAAACTCTCTAAGGTTTGATTTATAAGAATTCCAATCCTCTGAGTTTTGTGCTTTTTGCTCAATGAAAAGCTGTTCTTGCTGTCTTGCTAAGCTATTCCAGTGCAGTGCACCACCAAGAGTTGGTTTTGCTACTTTCCTCTATGGTTATTGCTCCATAGTTGATTTTCTTTTTTGTAAAATAAAAACATCAGGCCGGGGCTTCATTTTTTTGCGCATCTTTCCCCGATCCGATATCAGAAACTATATGGCGTATGGTATTGGCATCTATATTGTTAGATATTCACAGAAGTAGTCTACCCATTTTATCAGAATAAACTCTTTATTAGTAAGCAACTTTTTATCCTTATCTTTGCACATGTTTTTGGTTTATATTCCTTTTTTATCTTGTTTATCTGGTGATAGAAACTTTTAGGGCGTTTTTATTCTTGTTTTTCGTTGATTCTAACCAACTGGCAATATCCATCTGTTATTGCTGTGTATTTTATTCCTTGGCATGATTTATCTATTTTTCAAATTGTAATGAGTTTTTTTATCTCATCAGCTGTTTAGTTTTTGTCTGACGTCTCCTTTCTATCAGTTATAGCATTTATTTAGGGTTGACCAGAGTTTTTTTCTTTAATTTTTTTTTTGTATATATTTTAACATATTACTCCAGAACTACGTTTTTAAAAACAATTCCCATGTCTTCGATGTTCTAATATGTTGTGTTTAAATCTAGTTGAGTGTCTACATATTCCTGGTATCGCATTTGTAGTTTTTTATCGTCCCAGTACCATCGTCGGTTTTTTTATTTACAATCTCATGGCTTATTAAGTTTTATTTTCCATAGTTCATTAGGTACTACCGGGATATAAGACCCATGCTGAATACCCATGAGCTACACGGTCATAGTTGAACATTGATATAATTGGCCCAAATGCCGGTAAGCATTGAATCTGTTTTATCGGACGACCCGTATCTTAATACACTTCAAAACATTTCGCTTTAATGTCATACTTTTTGTATTACAAAAAATTTATGTTTAGTTATAGACGTGTCTTTTGGATAGTTTGAACTAATATTAAGAACCACCAAGTTGTTCTCTTATCAGACTGCAACACAGTGTTTTTGCATTTATATTGTCAATCGGGTGTCCTATAAATATGCTAAAGGCGTACGATTTTATGTGTTTTTAATGTTCAATATTTGTCTTAAGATATTTCTCTGTGCTTTCTGCCATTGGGGTATAGATTTGTAAGCTGTTGACTGGCAAAAATCCTTGGTTTTGGTTTCCTTGCTGTTACCATTATTTACAAGTTTACCAGCTATGTATAAAGTTGTAACATTCCAAGTAGCTATTTTTATTCTCATTTCTTGAAATCTCATCACCAGTTGACGATTGGATGCGATAGTTTTGTATTACCATTTACATCTTATATCGTTGTCGATTTTTGTTTATCTACCTCAGTGGACCATTTCTGCTCCCCAGAACAAGACAGTCTCCTTTCATCACTTATATGGAGTGCTATTAATGCTTATACCGGTATTTTCTCTTTCCTCACCTACCCTTCAGCTAGCTCTGTATTTAAGTGTTGTGCATTTTAAACCACGTGAAGGTGCACGTTGAAGACTTCTCTTTGTTAAAATCAAAAACATACAGAAAGTTCTTGATATTCGTTTATTTTAGGGTCACAAAATTGGTATAAATAATTTTTCGGCTTGATACGTTCTTAATTACTGTTTAAGTTAAGTTTACTAGTATTTTCTGTCTTTCTTGCCCGTTTGTATAATTATAAAAGTGCTAACTAAGCGTTTTATATTTTTAAGATCCCAAATCTCCGAAGTTCTCCAAAACTCCACCTCCAAGTCCAGCCGACTTTATACTTAGAGAACAGGCAGCCTCAGCTCAAGGTGAGTTATTCGAACCAGACTACGCTTGGATTTTTAGTTTAGTGCTTTTTTAGTAGTGTATGTGTACGGAATACTCATTACGTTAAAACTTTGATTAAATGTTCATGGCCGATGAGTATTCTTTGCACCAAATGTGGCATATCAACTCCATAACTTCAACTTTAATAAGAAATGGTATTTAAATGTTTCTCTCCTTGATATTCGGTACTACTCTTATAATATGTTTGTGCTGTTATTTAATAAACATGAAGAGTTACTTAAGAACTTAACTACTTAAAAATAAAAATAGTGGCGTTTTTAATTGATGATATTTTACATTATGGAGTATGACCAGAAATCTTTTATTATAATAAGCAACTTTGAAGTTACACACCATTTAGTATACTTAAAGTAACTAAAAGTAAATAGAAAAGTAGGTCTTAATATTAATGATTAAATATAGAAAAATAAATTTTATTGTTGTAGAAATTATTTTTCATCTATTTTGAAAGTATGCACTAACTAACACGAGTATTAGGTTATAAATTCTCAAAATGTAGTTTAAAAAAATGTTTATGTATTTTATAATTTTAATACGTCCCTTTAAAATAACCAAAACAAAGAATTTTGATCTTTAAAATAGGATCTTGTTTAATCCTTCCTAGTCCAGCCGGCCATTAGAGTTTACATGCTGTAATAACATATTTTTAGTCGTAAACTGAAAGAGTTTAACGAAATGATTTTAGCATAAGTTGTGAAAAACAATACTGTATATTTATTCAGGTGGTTAAATAATGTTTTCTATGTGTTATCAATAAAAAAAAACTATTCCAAAATTGAAATGACACAGATGAACAATTTTTGAACAAAAGACTATCAGTGTGATACCATTTAACGAAGAGGTAAACAATATTAATAATTTTAATAAATTATTAAAAATAAGTCCACAACATATATCAATCAATCAATTATAGGTAAGAGTTAAGAGAACTAGTCTATATTTTGTACGAAGTTTCTAGAAAACACGTCCATTTTACCTACTGAATTTACAAAATTTAATATTTTACTCACCAGGGTTGAACCGCGTCGATAATTAGTGAGTCGAGCGTTTGATATCCTCTCTGATATCTTCTTCAGGGCTTTCGAGGTGTTAGTCTGTGTTAGTCTCCCAGACACTACTAAACTAATCACTAATTACTGCTTGACACATCACGTTAGTGATCAGTGTTGCAGAGTCTGGGAGCTCGGTAAGCTGAGACCTCGAAAGCCCTAAAGAAAATACTAAACAACAGAATGTCAAAAGCTCGACGCAGTAATAATCGACGCGATCCAATCCGGAAGCCTGATACTATTTTGGGATACGGAGATTCCACATTTAATATTTGCAAGGTTGCCAGATTTGTCGTTTCTCTTATACTTATTGGTAACTTTGGTTTTTCAAATTTATTACCCTGTATATTCACTCATTATTGAAATCTCCTATTCAATATGCATTATTTCAACCATATGCAACACTTTTGATTATATGTAGTCTGGTTGGTCTTAAATACATAAAACACAAATCTGGCAACGCCTAATTGTCTCAATAAATGTTTTAATACTAACAATATTCGACTACATTAAAACGTAACAATTGATAGATTAAAACATTTTTTAACATAATAGTTACTTTATAAAGTGTTCAAAATGTGCCCCATTTGTGAGTTGACAGTACCCTAATTCATGGTAGAACGCGTCTAACTCATTTCTCCATGATTGTCTAGAAATTATTCGAGATTCATCGATAATTCGTTGCCTTAGCTCTGCAAGACCTGCTGGTTTAATTTTGTAAACTGAATTTTTCCCCAATAAAAATAATCTTTAGGAAATCAGGTGAATATGGAGGCTATTCAATTCTACCTCGTCTACCAAGTTTCTCAGCATAGGTTCAATTTCATTTCTAAGTAACATTTCGTAACTATGTGACGTTAAATTTCATTTGATAAAATTTATTTACACTTCCACACAGTGTAACGGTTGCTTCATCGGAAAACATATTCTGTTAACTAAATTTTCATCATTTTCAATTTGATCCATCATAACCTCAGTAAACTCTAATCTACAATTGAAGTCATATTGACTTAATTCTTGCAATAAGTTAATTTTGTATGGTTTAAACCATGGACGTATAAACATAGATGGACACAGCAATAAGATACCTTTAACACACAATGTTTTGAAGCTTCGATAGAATGTGATGCTTCCGCAAGAGCATAAGCCTGCTTGAATTTTTACTCGCTCGCGGGTAATTATTCAGATTTTAAAAATTGGAAGTAGTAATAATGTATAAAAACACGTTACAACACAAAGAATTAAAAAAAAATCGAGAGTTTAACTATTAACAAATCACGTCTTTATAGAAAAATTAAAATACAATTTTATTTGCTTTAAAATTAATACAATTAAATATAGTTGAATTCAAGTTAATTTTTTAATAGTATCAAAATAATGCTACAATAAAAAATCTTTATGTTTTCTCCTTAATTTGCTACCCAAATAGTTCGATCGTCAATATTATTTGGAAACCTACATAGAAAAATAAATAAGTTTTATTCATTTCACTAATTTATTTGTATCCATGAGAAATATTAAATTAAAAAGGTACTAAATAGATCTTTTTTAATCAGATGATGTCTACTTACAATTTATAAATGTCTATCATATCTTATTCAATACATTAATGAACATGAATAAACCCAATGGTACGCCTATTAAAATGTAAACAAACACGCTTCCTCATTTCCTCATCTTAAATAATGTAAATTGTATGTACTTACAAATGAAATGAGAGATCGGATGTAAATATTTCGTTTATTTTATTTCACTTTTCACAAATATCACTAAAAATACAGCCAAAATATCGAAAAATAACTTTTTCCTCATTTACTATTAAAAGTAAACAAACATGGAACAGCATTTGAAGTTTGACGTAGATCCATAAGACAGAGGAATGTAAACAACCGTTGCCATTTATAAATAGTTTTCAGTGCTTCTACATATAAAATAATTGATTATTATACGCTATCATTAAAAATGATAATGCACACTATGTGCATACATGATATTTTGATTACAATTAAATATATTAATATAACCAATAAATTATTATTTTGGTTTGATAGCACCTGTAGAGTATAAAATGTGGAGTAATATTTTCAGCGACTCGCGAATAAGAAATTTTAACAATTTTAACAGTTGAAGGTGTTCAGAATGTGACTTATTCAAATAATTTTGACTTCACAATTTTATGTAAATAACTGAGTCTATCTGTGTTTATACGTCCATGGTTTAAACTAAGAATGAAGAACGACCTACATCATATGCAACCCTGCGTAAGGATGTATGTGGATCTTCAATTAAAACTTTGCATTATATCTAAAGTTTTGTTGTCATTCATAACTCTTTTCGGTCTACCTGATCGGTATCTATCTTTTACTTCTCCAGATTCCTTAAATCGCTTTACAGTTTTTTTGTACCATCGCCTTATAAATAGGAGAACGGTTTGGGAAAGTATCATTCAACAAGTTGGCTACGTCACAATATGTTTTTTTTTCTGTTACCATACCCTCTCATTATTAGAATAGTAATTCGTTCTTTTTCGTTAAGAGCCATTTTAGAAAAGCAATTTATCTTGCAGAACTTTTCGAAACACAACTACTCTCAGTGTCAAATATTAAAATCACAGCATTCTACATTTAAATATTCAAATTTATTAAAATCTACATATTTTACGCTGATTTATATATTTAAGACCTTTCAGACTACATAAAAGTATGTGTTACATATGGTTGAACTCGTATTGAATAGGAGATCTTAATAATGACTGAATATACAGGGTGATGAATTTGAAAAACCAAAGTTACTAATAATATAAGAGAAACGGCAAATCTGGCTACACTGTATATATTAAATATGGAATCTCCGTATCCCAAAATAGGTGTACTTCAAATTTTTTTAAATTTTAACTAGCAATTTACGAGATAATTGGTCGTTTTCAGACTTTTGAGCCACTCTCTATAATAGAACCAAACTCTAATTTCAAGCGTGTTTGATAGACTGGCCTGACATTATTCCTATTAAAAATTCAAAGCAAATTTCATAGTAAAGTAAAATTATTCATAAACAAGTAACAATTATAATATATGTTCTATGGATTCTTACGGGAAATTAGAAGTAATTGGAAGTTTTTGGAAATGTATATACGTCAATCTACGTGTGTAAGACGTCAATCTTTGGACAGTCTATTGGTTAAAAGTGTGTCACTTCTGGATCGAAATACGTAAATTAAATTAAAGACTAGACAGTATTGTAGACCCTTAATTGTTGTAAGGAAATCGAGGTCGAGTATCTGAGTATTAAGGAGAGAAAAACCTTCGTGCGAATATTTCGAACCTAAATCGCGTAATTCGATTAATATCCCTCATCATATATTGAAGGATTTGTACACGAAATCGTCTAAGTGCCTTGGTATTTTTAAAATAAAAGCCGTCAATATTATATAACGCCAATTGTGGAATAGTGTCATACGTACTAAATATACATAAAAAACAGTTTACTGCTTAAATTTATCGTGTCTACTATAAATAAAGAAAATAACGATAGAAACTGTAAACAGTCTTTAAGAAATACTAAAATTGCAAAAAAAATTGTACCCAAAATCAAACTGTCTACAAATGAACACTCTAAAAATATATTTTTTTAAAAAAAGTCCTAAAAGAAGTCTTTATAATAGAAGCGACAAACAATGTGATCAAAATTAAAATATGTAATACTGCAACGGCCCTTAGATTTTCCGAGGTCCTTTTGATAAGAAAATGATAATAATTAAATCAGAATTGGAAATGAGCTACATAAAAAGATAACCTAAATAGCAATCTAAAATAACAAAAACAAATTCAAGGAAAAATAAAATAAATTAAATGGAGCTCTAGTTTTGAAAAAATTTCACTTTACCTTCTTTACCTTGATTTTCTAGTATTGAA